GCTTGTAGGTTGGAGGCCTTTGCTTGTAGGTTGGAGGCCTTTGCTTGCAGGTTGGAGGCCTTTGCTTGTAGGTTGGAGGCCTTTGCTTGTCGGTTGGAGGAAACTGCTATTAGGTTTGAGGCCTTTGCTTGTAGGGTAAAAGGCCTTTTGCTATTAGGTTGGAGGCCTTTGCTATTAGGCTGGAGGCCTTTGCTTGTAGGTTGGTTTCCATTGCTTGTAGGTTGGAGGCCTTTGCTATTTGGTTTGAGGCCTTTGCTTGTAGGCTGGAGGCCTTCTGCTAAAAAGGTACATATTGTCAAAAATGACATTATTGTATATATTTCCAAACTGGCAAATTAAAGTTGTCATGTTGGGTTGGTATGTTTGTCGCACACAGCTTGCCATGTTGCCACAAACCATTCAAGAAATTGCTCCAATATGGTTAACGTTGCAATGGCCAAAACATGGCAATATACAAGAAGCACCTGTGACCATGTGTTTATTAGCAATACTTTTCAATATGTTGTGTCAATTTTGACAACATATGTTTTTTGCAGTTTGCATACATGTTGATGTCTGATTCTTTTGTATATGCATGAACAAGTGCGCACTGCAAAATTTTTGTGGTCAGTTTTCATTTATCAAACATGTTTTCATCCTATTTTTGTGAGTTAGTAACATCATGGCAGCAATGCTAACAATGCTAACTGTTAGCAGAGTTAGCAGTGTTAGCGTTAGCCTTGCTATCTTAGTTAATTAACTTTTACTAAAAGTTAATATCATATATGTAAGTGTTAGCATTGTTACACCATATTACAGCTATGTTGCAACTATGTTATGACCATGTTAGCTAACTCTCATAACTAACATAACCTGTTATAAAAAGCGGACAATGTAAGTGAAACTTGCACGTCTTCTTCTCCAATACCGTTGGTTATCACTTTGGGTTCAAAAAGCATCACCAACATTCATGGTTGGTGGTATAGAGCAAACAAATGGTATTTGTGAAGCCTTTGGTTGCATCCAGGCCACTGAACTTTTGTAGGAAATCCAACATGGAAAATTTTGGCCCACCTGAAAATGTTTTCACAAAATGACTGAGGTAGGTCAAAACTTCAGGCTGGCAAGTATTGGCAGCTTGGACTTTCTCCTTGGCTTCATGAAGTGGTACATTGAGGATGAACAGGTGGGCAGCAAGCTCTAATTCATTTGGTGCCTTGGAGATGGAATTGGCAGAGTTCATGGCCCCTTGCAGCAGGGTGGGTAGCATGGGCCATTGGCCTTCCACCAAATGGCTCAAAATGAGCCATGGCCACCCATTCTGGATGAGGTCCCAGCATGGATCATCTTTGCGCACTTCCATGGGAGGCTGCTCATCTGGCAGGCAACCATGGTTGATGGCCCTCAGAAAAGCTGTGGTGTGGCTGGTGGACAAGCTGAGGAAACCTCAGCATGGACATGAACAAATGGAAGCAATGGAATGCCAGCTAATTGTTTGTGATTCTGAAAGCTGACAAAAAAGCATAAACCTTATAGCTGTCATGGCAACCAAAGAACGCTCAGAACCTGTCATGGGTGCCATGGCACCATTGGCCTCCTTGATGAGGTTCTCATTGGCCATCAGCTGCTCAGACTTCTTGGCAGGGTCTGGTGATATCTCTATGGCCATGGATTCTCCAAGGAATTGCCTTTTCATACCAATGGCCATCGTCTTCTGGCCTTTGTCCCACATGTCCAACCATGAAAGCATTTGGTTGGCCCTGTTGTGGGGGTGGCACAAAACTTGACCACAGAGCCTGGTCCACCATTTGGTTCATTGGCAATTTGGATGCCAATAGATTGTTTATGGCTTTCACACTGGGTCAACCACACTCATGGCTGTGAGCAAGTGTGTTGAGCGAATGCAACTTTGCTGGAGCCAATGCATGGTGATGGATACCTGGTGCTATTGTTTGTGATTCTGGGTTACAAAACCCAAGTTCAAATGCTTCAAAGTTGGTTTCGCAATGATGCAATGCCATCAGGCTGCCAAGCAATGGTGGAATGCCACAAATTGGCGCACAGCATCTTTCCAGTAACTGTAATTCATTTTTTTTAGCCATGGCCTCTGGTGATTTGCTACATCTATGGCAGCTAGTCTTTGGGAACCGATGCCTTCTTCTGGTAAGGCTTCCTTGTCTTCAAAGTATCTTGGTGCTCTTGCAAGAGCTCAAACATTGGCACCAGCTGGCTTTCTTCCAATGGCATCACCACATCTGATTTGGTTGGCCTCTGCCCCTGCATCAAGCACTCAATGGTAGCTTCACCCAGAGGTACTTGGACACTTGGAGAATCTCTGGGTCATCAAGTCTTCTTTTCTTGGCCTTTGTCCTCTGGGTGCTCTGGTCACTTTCTTCATAGACAGTCTCTTCTGGCTGGTCTTCACCAGCTCCCCTGGCCCACAGTTGGTTCCTCTTGACAATGAATTCTTGGAAGCCTGTGCGGTTGGAAAAAGAAGCATTCTTGCCCACCTTGCCATAAATGATTTGGTTGAGTTGCTGGCATGTAGGTCTCAGCTTCAACCATTGGCGGCCACCATGCTCTTGAATCAAATTGGCAGGCACTGGGATTGCTTTGCAATCATTGCAGCTAATGGTTGCGGTTGTTTGGATGTCAACCTTCATGTTCACCCTTGGGCAAAGTAACTGCACTTGATGATGTTTTTACAAAATTGAATGCCATGCTGGCTGATTATTCTTATGGTGGTTTATTGAAAAGTTCACATTAGAATAGAACTTTTTTAACTTTCTAAAACAAAAAACTTACAATGTGGAAGATGATTTTTCAATACTTATATGTTATTTGACTTTTACTGACTCTGCCTAACTCAAGTTAAAAATTAACATTGACTTAACATGGTTAGCTAAAAGTTGACAATTTTTACTAAAACGTCTACTTAATTTATCAAGTTATAATTGTTTAAACCCTACTTAAACCCTACTTATAACTTGTTATAACTAGTTCACATACATTTATAACTTGTTATTAAATCATTTAACATCGATAACATGTTATAAAAAAGAAATTATTTAAGTACGGCCAGCGGGTCCGAGCTCGAGCGTCGCCGGAGGCTGGTGGCGGAGACATGGGCAGAGATTACGGCGAGACAAGGACAAACAACGGAAAGGACACAAAAGAAACGCAAGACGGAGACGCCGCCCAGCGATGAGACGACCGCCACTCCAACACCCACCCAGGTCACAACTGCAACGCCACCAACCCCGCCCAGTGCAGCCGAAGTTCCTGGAACAAAGGTTTACCACTATGTTTGCCCGTTCTGCTCTCAAGAAACTCGAAGTTCCGTGCACACTGGCCGCATCGACCATCGTCCTGTCTGCGGCAACCAGTTCCGGGTTGCGCTGGGCGTCGTTTGCGGGCGCGCGCGCCCACACCTGTCCCACCTGTGCGATGGTTGTGTTCTCGTGTAAGACGACCGGGCGACTCCAATACAACACACACAACCCAATGGCAAGCCTTGCCCCTGCACCTCCTGGAACATCTAAGGAGCCTAGTATGCCCCGTCTCTCTTGATGCCCCACATACACACCTCCAGAAACCCCCTCCCAAGACTCCCAACACTTCGTACCCGCAACACCATACTCATACCCTCCCTCCAAGGCTCCCAGCAATCTGCTCCGCCACTCCTTTCCACCATCTAATTCGAGACCAAAAATCATCCAAAAGTTGTCCTCCCAGTGCGGGCCTAGGGTGTCTAACGTTGCTTTCGGATCCCGTAAAACAACAATTCTGAAGCAACCTCGAGCACCTCAAGGAACGCCTCTATCCCGCTGTCTGCGGCGTCTCGCCGTATCTGGGTGTCTAACATCGCTCCAAAAAGGTCGTGATGCAGCCTCCATCAAGCCCGCCCTACTTCCAGACCACCAATCATCCAAAACAGTTCGTCCCCTCCA